AACCTTGTTGTTAGGAGCACGTGCTCTCACCAGCTGAGCCATCCTGCCACCTGTTGGCAGCTCAGTGGCAGCTCAGCTTGGGCGCAGCTCACTGGCCCATGTGGGAATCGAACCGGCAACCCTGTTGCTCAGAGCTCATGCTCTTAGCCAACTGAGCCACTTGACCGGCCCCCCTACCTCCCACCTGGTTTTGACAGTGACTTCCATCCACTAGAAAAAGGAATGGAGGTGTGTCTACACTCAGCATCCAATTCCCAGATAAAAGCTGAAAACTCTGGGGCGTCATTCAGACATTGGGCACCCTGAGACAGTGATCCCAGGATAAGCTCTTTGCATCTTTTCATGTGTGACTAACTATGACAGCACCTGTTTCCCTGAAAGACTAGGATGATGAGATGACAGAGCAGGTGGAATCATCCAGAAATAGTCAGGTCAAGGGCAGACTCTCTCCTCTTGGCTCAGCATTCAGCCAGTGGCAGCTGTGTCTCTGAGATGAGCGGAGATGTCAGCTGGCGGTGATTTTTCAGGTAGCTGATGAGGTGACGCTGTCTCATTGGGAAGCTGGTGAAGGGGCGCAGAAGCCCAGGCGGCTCGTGACACTGACATGAGCTGCCCGTTGTGTTCTGGCCCCACAGGCCCCCACTCGGAACCTCCATCCTGCAATGCCAACTCCATCTCCTGCCCGTCAGCCTGCACTTGCAGCAATAACATCGTGGACTGCCGAGGGAAGGGCTTGACGGAGATCCCCGCCAACTTGCCAGAGGGCATCGTGGAAATGTAAGTGCCCCGCCTGCCACCCTCTGTCCCTGGGAGCCCACGTCTCTGTCTCAGCCAATCCCCCAGTAGGCAGGCGGTCTGTTGGGCTGCTAGGGTGGACAGGTGAAATCTTTCTGCCATCCTTCCAGGCTTCCCCAGGGGAGATAGCTCTCTGGTCAAGAGCACAGACCCCATGAGCACACTACGACCCATGGGCCGAATATGCCTGCCACCTAGCTTTGTATTTTCAGCCACACCCATCTGTTCACGTATTGTGCGTGGCTGTGAGGCAGAAGTGAGTGGTTGTGGCCCAGCAGCCTAACATACGTCCTATGTGGTCCTTCACAGTAGAGGTTTGCCTGTCCCTGGCTGGATCGTGTCCTGATGCCATGGACTAGCTGGGCGACTTCGGGCAAAATAATTGCTCTTTCATGTTTAGTTTTCTCATCTCTAGTAACATGGTAACTATAGTGCTCTCAGTGGGTCCTTGTGAAAGCGAAGTGAAATACTGCATGGACCCTCTTACCACAGCCCTTGGCACACGGGCACGTGCTCTGGAGGGTGGTGGTGGTCGTGGTGGGACATGTATGAATGATGAACTGACTTCACAGCAAGAGACTGAGCTCTGAATCATTTCAAATCCGATCGTTGTCCCCCAGATGGATCTTCAGGCAGAGACAAGATTGTGCACGTTCATGTGTGTGCATAGCTGTCCCAAATTCCAGTCCAACGTGTGTGTCCGCATCGCTCAGTTTTGCCCACTCATCCCTCACGCACCAGAAAATGGCCAGTGTCTCATTCTGGATTGAGTAGAGGGCCAGTCGGCTTTGACCTCAAGATCGCTCTTTATATGACAATAATAGTTTCCATTTTCTCCCTTCACCTTTAAGTGGCTTTATTATAAACATGATTAGGTGGAACCCTCCTACTGAAAACATCATTAGCTAAAATCCCTCTGAATAAAAAACATTCATTTCCCTCACCTCTCTGCTTTTGTACCATCATCATCTCCTCCCCCTCCTCCCCTCCCCCTCCTTCTCTCCCTCCTCTCCCTCCTCCTCCTCCCCCTCCTCTTCCTCCTGTTCCTCCTCCTCCTCCCCTACTTGCCCTTGTGCTCCCAGTGCATTCCAATGGACAGCCCACTGATTCCTCCATTCATGCATTCACACAGCAAATATCTATTATGAGCTCACTGTGTCCCAGTCATTGTTCTGTGCTTGGGAGCATCAACAAACAGATAACACTTCTGCTTTTATGGTGCTTGTGTTCTAGTGGTGGGGAGAGTGTGATAAACTGTAAACAAAGCAAAAAAAATGAGATAATAGACAGTTGTAGGTTCTGTGGAGAATTATAAAGCAAGGAAAGGACATGAGGTAAATGAGAGAAAAAAGAAGTGAATATCTGAAGGAAGAGTGTTTCAGGGAGCAGGGACAGTGTGTGCAAAGGCCCTGAGGTAGGAGTGCGCTGGTGTGCCAGAAGGCCAGTGTGCAGTGAACACAAGGGAGAGCGTTAGGGGTAATGAGGGCCCGATCATGGAGGCATCGTAAGGATTTTGGTTTCGCCCTAACTGAGATGACAAGAAACATGTGACTTCAAACGTGGGGACTTAGTTCTCCTTTCTTCATCTGCTTTGCCAGCTTTTCTCTGATTTCCTCTAGTACTTTCTTCCTCAGCCGCAGTGGACACAAGCCATGCCTCCACGCCCTTCCTGTAGGCAGGAGCTAATTAGCAAAGTGTCCTTTTGGCCTGACAGCCACACCTTCTATGGTCTTCTTCCACCTTCACTCAGCCCTCAGTCCTCCCTTCGGCAAGAATCACCAATTAATTCCCTCTGTGTTTTACCGTGACCGTCCTTCACTCCTTGAGGCCCAGGCTCTAGCCTTGAAGAGCCCCCTTCCCGTGGAGTTCCCTTAGACCTCACGGACTCGCCTGCTTATCGCTCTGCTTCCCCGCTCCTACCACGTCTGCCTGTCCCGTCCTCACTCTCTTCCCTTTCCGCAGCCTTTTCCCTTCTCCTTTTCTCCCTTCCTTGATTCATTCTTCCCCTTCTCTCCCTCTCCTCACCCATGGTCTTCCCACTTCACTTCCCAGCCCCATTCCTCTCTCACCCAGGAGCCCTTTGCTCTTTCTTAGCAGAGCTCACCCCCCTCCCCTCTCCATCATTCCTAGGCAGGACTCTGGCCCTCCCGAGATGGGTATTCAAGACAGGATTCCTGCCAGCATTCATCATTTCAGATTCCCATATGGCTCCTTGATCCCTCCATCTGCCAGGTTTTCTCGTTGGCAGGCACAGATTTTCCCTTGACCAGGTCTCAAAGCACAGCCTGATGGAAGAGGTCAGTCTATGTGGTCAGACAGTAACCTCTGGCCCCCTCCCCCAACCCTCAATTTGGGAGGTCTGAGCCTGCCCACCCTCATCTCTCTACCTCAGAGGCACACATCTCAGGTGTCGGGGAGAGAGAAACTGCAGACATCCATGCCAGAGGTGGGGCCCACGCAGACCAGGCCAGGCCTGAGCTGCTAAGCTCACACCTGGAAGTCGGATTTTAAAGGGGATATTAACAGGCTAGAGTAGTGATTTCTAAGAGGCTCTCCGATTATTAGTGAGTTTTTCCTGATTTGAGGTAAAGTGAGAAAGACAAGAACAATGTGATGTTTTTCCATTGAGCAAAAATATTCAACTTAAGTATCCTTTATTGTAAATTCCAGGACTTCCTTATTCTGCTGTTGTTGTTATTAAAAATGCCACTTATTTTATAAAATGACAGCCGCTGAAGGCAGGATATGTGTGTATGTGTTAAATATGTGTTTAATTATATGTGTAGTTATTATAGAATTTAAATGTATGTCTTTATATAAATGTGTATTATGTATAACTGACAGAGACAAAGAGAGCTTGCTCTCACTGGCAAAATAAAAGGTCTGTAACCACCTAGCCTATGAAATCCCAAAGTCTGGGAATGACTAACCTACCTAGAGTATTTCCAAAAATGAGCAACCACAAATGACAACCAGGTGGTTAAGAGTGCAGACCATGAATTCGGGCAAACCCCCATTCTAACGCCAAGCCCTGCCTTTTAGCCATTGGCCAATAATGTTTCTGAGTCTTGGTTTTCTCAACTGAAAAAGGCAGAGGCTAATGGCACCTTCTTAACGCTTCTTGTGAAAGTTAAGTGAATGTTTGCTGGCAGATGCTTAGCATTGAGTCTGGCACATGGGGTATGCTGTGTTAGCAAAAATTGTTGTGAGTTTACCACTACTCTTACTGATACTGCTACGACTGCCACCACTTTTATTAGGCATAATGAGAGGGGTTAGAAACATGCACAAGAGGTCCCTCCATAAAGCTATGTCAGTTCTTCGAAGGTTATGGTTGAAAGAGTAGGTTCAAAAACTAGCCTAGCCACTTGCATTATGAATTGAGCCTGGCCATAGCTCATCTTCATGCAAATGTATGCAGATATGCAAATAAGACTGCCCCTGCTTACCGGGCACCCACGGCCCATCAGACAGATTGCCCAGGACTTCATTCAGTTGTGCTTTCCTCATTTTCCTGTGATGAAATGAAGCTGAGACATTAAAGCAAATGAGGCAAGACTCTATGGTTGAAGGGTCCTGCGAGAGGTGACGTGTCAGAAAGAACTCTGAGGGGGAAACCTGCTTGCCCCTAGAGGCAACGAAACCCGTGCTTAGGGACCTGTGGGTTGGCCTGAAAGTCTTTAAAGCAGCTAAAATGCATCCTCTTAGCAGTGAGAGGAGCCCAGCAGATGGGGGAGGTGGAAGATGAGAAAATAGGGAGCAGAGAGTTGAAACTGCAGGATACACCCCAGGATGAATACCAAGTGTCTGATCATCATCCCAAAGTCAGCCAAATGTGACTGTTTCTTTGTACTATCAAGAATTCTGCCTCGTGTCCATAACCACCTACATGATCCTTCCTCCTTAGTCATGATTGGGACCATATCAAGCTCTCTACTCCCTATTCTCAACCCTTAGCTGGTAGCGATGGTCTTAAACCTTGGGAGGGGCTCTGCCCTCCCAAGCATTTTGGGAGGGGGAGCTCTCTCGCGCGCAAAGCAATCTGGCAGACGTCTAGATTTTTCCAAAGCCAGAGCAGCTCAAGGGAGTGTGTGCTGGTCTCCCCACATAGCCAATTCCGCCTAAAAATAGCTTTCTTCCAGAGAACAAACCCACAGTGAGATGTTTCACTGCAGATGTTCCTCGAAACTGAGCTCCCACCAACAGCACTGTTCTTGCTGCTCCCCAACATTTCTCTGAGCCAGCCCCAGCCTCCAGCAGGGATGGTTCTGGGAAGAGCCGGAGACCCACGTGCTCCTCTGTTCTGTCATCAGCAGTCCACCCTCCTAGGTCCTCAAGGCTGTAGAGGCACGGACCATCTGTACCTCCAGCCCCATCTGAATCTCTGTCCCATCTTCTTCCATGTTTGCTCCAGACCCCCACATAGTGTCTTCCAGTGTCTTGTGCCCTCCGCTATAGCTGGTTAATTTATTTGATGGAGAAAGGCCGTGGACGGGCTTAAAGATCAAGTCAGAAGTGAACTCATCTTCTGGGAAGATGCATTAGGGGGAAAAGCAGCTCCACTTTGCACCTAGCCTCACTTCAACCCCATTGTTTATCTGGGGTGGGGAGACAGCTGCCTAACAAAAGCAAATATCCCCCCATTTCACTGGTCACCAGGGGACTTTAAAAAGAGAGAAAGAGGGCCGGCCGAGTAGCTCAGTTGGTTAAGAGCTCGCTCAAGAGTTTGAGCTCTGAGCAACAGCAGTTCGATTCCTGGCCAGAGCTGAGCTGCCGTTGAGCTGCCAACAGGTGGCAGGATGGCTCAGCTAAAAAAAACAAAAAGAGAGAAAGAACTAAAAATCAAAAACAAAAAATCAGCCAACAGAATGAAAGGACAGAAGGACTCTGGAAATTGTTGACATCAGTGACTCTTAAAATGTTCTGAGGGCACCAGGTTTGTTTCTGCGGAGCTGCCACGTGGAAGGAGGAGAGATGGCGTAGGGTAGGGGCAGGCGGTGTAAACGGGAAGCCAATCAGGCAGCAAAATAATTAAGAAGAGCGCCTCGGTGTAAACAGTCCTGGGTGTGAACCCCGGTTCTGCCTCTTACTTTGGGCACGTTTCTTTAACATCACCTGCCTCACTCAGACCCCCCCCCTTTTGAAAAATGGGGCTCATTGTACCTACTAGAGATTTTCCATGAAGATTAAATAACATAACATGTAGAAAAATAGCACAATGTTTGGAAGCTACCAAATGGAATCTAAAAAGAAAACGCTTACGCACCTGTATACACATACAATGTGATAGAATGATTAGCCTCAAGTTCCCATACTACTCTTCATTCATTTTTTTCTAAGAAGAAAAAAAGATGTCCTCTGTTGGAGGCACGTGGGCCTATGTGTATAACAAGAGCAAACCCGGCCCTGTGTCTGTACCTCTGTGTTCTGTAGGCAATGCCAGGCGTTCTGCAGTACGGCTTAGGAATGGCTCCGGTCACATATGCCCACATTCCTCATCTCAGCTGTGGACCAAAAACACACAAATTCAGTGCAGGGAGTCAGGATTCACTGCCTTTCTGAAGACCCACCAGCAGCAAAGGTAAAGAAAGGGAGTGGCCAGGAACATGACCTTGACGGGAACCATCCCCCTCAGCCCGATTCCACGTGCAGCGGAGCGTCAGGAACCAAGTCGTTTTTTGGTCTCCAACCAAATGGCCCAGGATGACTTTGGCGAAAGATCACCATGGATCTGGACATCCTAATGAGTTCCCAAGTCAAGGGAAGACTAAGAGAGATGGGGAAGACTTAAGAAGCATTGTGAACCCCCACGAAGGTGACTGCTGCAGGAGGCAGTGTAGGCCAGGGGTTAAGAACACAGATGTTTCTGGGTTCAAGTCCAATCCGAGATCCAGTCCAGGCCCTGACTTGCAGCCGGACTTGAGGCAAATTGGCCTTTCTGTGCCATGACTTGTGTCCATAAAATGGGCATATTGATAATACCACCTGCTCTGTCATCTTGTTGAAGGAATACAATGAGCCAGTGTGTGAAGAGCACGTGGCTGACGTATAAACAGCCCTCAGTCGATGGCAGATGTCCCTCCTCGTCACCGCCTCAGTCGCACTGCCACCAGGAGTGCAGCCCAGCCCAGCACCTCTTCTCCGGGTGACCTACAGCCATGCCCTGCACCAGCCGTGTCCCTGCCAGTCTCTCTGGTGACGTGTTGACTTATGTGTTGCCAGGAGTATATTGTGTTGAGTCTCATGTTTGCAAATGACAGATCATTAAGGACGCACCGAGGAACTAGGGCAGATCAATACGAGCGCAGACGACGGAAATCCCCATCCGACGTTCCCATTGTTGTTACTTGTGCCAGAAGACGCTCAGATGTTTGATTGGTGTGTTTGTTTCCGCGCTAGTTCTATTAAAGCAGTTTGCAGCCTAACGGATGTTTGCCAGACAAAGGAAGACAACGTGTGCTGGTTAAGAGAGTCCTAAAACAGCTGTTGGCTCCAGACACATCCCTGAGTGTGACAGTTTCCACTGATGTGAATGCTTCTTTTTGTCCTTCACACTGAATTTTTGTCGCTGGGAGCACAGATCTCTGCATGCTTGTTCCAGACTGGAGGACCGGGCTATGTGTAAATGCCACCAGGGCTACCTGCTGCATAGAGACTCTGTGTGTGTGTGTGTGTGTGTGTGTGTGTGTGTGTGCGCGCGCACGCACGCGTGCGCGTGTGCACACACCCTGCAGCCGTGCTTCCTCGATGGAAGGGCCATTTCCGTGAGGATGAGCGCAGACAATGGCTAAAAGAAGGGAAATACCTCAGCTCCAAACGGCATTCACCAAAGCTCAGTGATGGAGACTTCGGGCTTTCAAACTGGATGAGCCTGAGTCTGAGTCCCAGCTGTAGCTCTTCCTGGCTTTGTGAATCTGGACAAGTGACTTAACATCTCTGAGCCTCAGTCTTCTCATGTTTAAAGTGGGGATGGTAATAACCCCCTAGGACCTGCCTCCTAAAGGCATAAATATTGTTACACAAACTATGGAGAACTCTCAGCCTACTACCTGAGTCTAAGCACCCGATTATCATCATCCCTACCCTCACCTTTACGTGTGAAGAACACTGACTATTCACAACTACCCATCCACCCCCAGATAAACTGAGACCCCTGGGGCAAGGTTAACCTACATCCTGTGGCCTTGACATTGCACTGGGGTTGGATGTCCAGCCAGTACCCCCAGCAGCACAAGGAGCAGAGAGATAGCAGAAACAAAGTCCCTCCCCTGAGTGTGCCAGTCAACAGTACAGGATGCACAGCGACTTCCCTGCCAGGGTTACAGGCTTAGGTTGGAATTCTTTGTTCTTTGTTCAAAAATCGCACCTTTGTGCTATTTGCGTATTTTATCCATATTCACATCTACGTTGCAACTTCCCTCAACTCCTATAGCCGTTTTACAAAATACCTACTTCTGCAGAGGCTGCGTGATATCTCAGGAGGAGCACTGGGGTCATGACCCCTTAAACTTTTCTGTGACTTTGGGAAAGCCGCTCTAGTCTCTGGGCCTCAGTTGCTCCTTTTTCAAAAAGAGAAGTAGTGTGTCCAGCGGGCAGAAACAAAGAGACATCGGTTCTGCCACTTACTAGCTCCGTCACCTTGGACAGGCTGTTTGGTCCCTCAAGTCTTTATTGTCCTCGTCCACCAGATGGGACCAATACAGCTTGCCTCGTAAGTGTAAGGACTAAAAGAGATAATAGACATAAATCAACTCGACGCCATAAAAGATAGCTCTTCCTGTGCAGTAGCAATAAAATTTGGTTCTGTGATGAGCCGTCTTAAACTGGCCTCTGTCACCCTTTGGGTGCAGGTATCACTTCCTGCTCATTGATCCATCCCTCCCTTAGCCCTATACCCATCCCTAAAGTGGAGGGTGATTGATTTGGAGCTGCATGGCAGCCGGCTGACCTCACACCCACAAGGGCCGACTCGCGCGGGCTCTTGGCCCACAGCTGAGATCAGTGGGTCCTCTTGGCAAAGCTGCGGGGCTTGCCCTTGCTAACGGGCAGTGGCTCTCCAGAGGCACCATCCAGTCACAGTCCCTTGCCAAAGCGGCAGGTGAATCACAGGATTCCTGGAGAGCATTTGCCACCTGACTGGCAGCCACAGAGCCGCTGCTTCGGCTGAGAAACTCCTGCTGAAGTCTGCTCATCTGGAAAACGAGAATGTCCTTGGAACTTCCCAGTCAAGGCTGCCTGCCTGAGTCAGCTGCCTGGGCGGGCGGCTGCGTCTGGGAGTCTGCAGCCTCTGAGACCTTGTGGCATGATTTCGTGGCTCACCGTGAGCCAGCCAGGTCCCTGCCCAGCCAGCCTGTGCCCGCGTGCCCAGCAGAGCACACCCCACCCCCTCTGGCGGGCCACAAAGGCTTTCTTAACGGACCGTGGCTGTCTCGTTTGTAGACTATTCTTCCGGCAGCCAGGAAGGATCTGTCCTGACGCCCCCCCCCCGCCCCGTCTCCTCTCAGCCCCCCTTCCTCTGGCCTGGAGAGTGATTTGTCTGTGTTATGGGTAGGCCTGACAAACCATTCCACATTAGCAGCTGAGATGTTGTTTGAAATGGGAAAATTGCTGGCAAACTGCTCCATTAGCGGTTCCCGTAACAAATACTCTGCTCCCCCCAATGAAGATGAGATCTCGGAGGCCCAAATTAATACGACTGTCTCCCCGGCTCTGCAGCAGGAATTACTCTTCAAGATGAACAGGTTCATCCCAGCCAGAAATGTGCCTCCGCAACATGTAGCCTCTGAGGGAGCCAACGCCTGCGGTTTCTGCCTCCGGCTCCCCCTCCGCCACTCTCCCCCCACACACCTTTTCTGTGTGTCTCCCCAGCCGAGGGCTTGGGACGCATCCGTGCCAAATGAGGAAGTGATGAAAAGATCCACACCTTCGGAGACAAGGGAGATGGATGAGGGGGAGATGCTGAGTCCTCAGCCTGGGCCTAGGCCTCATTCATCACCTCTAATAGAGGGCCCTGCCTCCTGCTCCGGCCTCTTTCCCACCACACCTGTTCCTGGTGACAGGAAGTCATTTGAGAGATGAAAGAATAAAGAATGGAAATGCTCCTTGCCCCCCCCGCCCCCCGTGCCCCTTCTCTTCCAAGGAAGCTCTGAGCCCCGGGCCTGCAGCATCTCATGTCTGCCCGGAGTAACACGAGAGGAAGGAGCATTTCAGGAAAGTCCATAGATTCGAGCAGCGGCCCAGGGAAGCGGTTCAGCCGGGTCCTCTCGGGCCTCCAGGATGTCAGGGAACCAGCCTGATGGATGTCAGGCTGGAAGCTAAAGACGTGAAGGCTTTTTCTCCACCGTATTAGAACAGCCCAGAAACAAATATTGAGTCGTCATGCTCTACACCTGAAACTAATATGTCAATTATACAGAAAAAGAAAAACCCAGAAATGAAGTCAGCTGTTGTCACTTCTGCCTGTACAGGACCCCCGTGCAGTGCGGTTGCGTTTTAACACACTAGTGACATGTTTCCATATAAGCGTTTCTAGCCACAGTGCATCTCTTTTTACTCTTTCTTTATCCCTTTTACTTTTCCAGCACTCTGGTTGCTTCCTACAGCTTTTTCTGAAGAAACTGGCTGCCTCCAAAGCCAGCTTATCATAAGCAAGAATCAAAACTCCTTCAAGGAGAAGTCCCCTTTTCTAGCTTTCTCCCAGGGGGGTGAGACCCTGGGCGGGGTGCACCATACACCAGGACATGAGTCTTTGGCTTTTGCACGGTGTCCGCCTGGCCTCCTGTGACCGAGAACGTGCACCACGTGATGGGGGAGGCCATGCTGTCCTCAGGGCCCCCAGCAGCCTCTGGTTGATGGCTGGGTGGTTCATTGTCTCTTCTCTGCTCTGTTTCCCAGACGCCTGGAACAGAACTCCATCAAAGCCATTCCTGCCGGAGCCTTCAGCCAGTACAAGAAGCTGAAGCGAATGTGAGTTTCCCCTGGGGAGAAACGAACCCACAGGTTTTCAATTTGGGGGATAACATGTCATGTGTGGTGGGCAGCCTACTCGGAAGATGGGCCATCTCACGTTCCGCCTAGACGGTGCAGTGTCCGGCCTGGAAAGCTCTCCTCAGCTCGGGAGGTGAGGTTCAGAGCTGTTGCATTCAGGTGGTGAGCCGTGTGGGTTTGGGCACCTCAGAGCGAAGAACCTCTCCAACTAGAGCAAAGTAGAATTATCTGGGTGGGAGGTGGAGCTCAGCTGGCTTTTCATTCCCTTTCTTATCGTCTCCTGGCTTTGGGGCTGTGGACCTAAAGTAGGAGTTTCAGGGGAGACGTGACAGCGGCACTGTATCCTTCTGCCACGCTGTCACCAACATTCCCACAACCGTGCACATGTTCAGTTACCACTCAGTGAACGTCCCCTGCGAGCGAGGCACTGTGCCAGGATCTGTGGATGGTGCGGGGAGCTAAAACAACATCTGCTCTCATGGAGCGTGCATATCCGAGTGGCAGAACACAGAAAATGAACTTGATGAGCACGCGGAATTGATACGTGCTAGAAAGTAAAGCAAAGGGAGAGAAGGGCATAAAGGTGATGGTGGGTGGTCTTTAGGAGGGTTTGCCCGGGGGGTGGCCTCTGTGTGCAGGTGACCCGAAGGAAGGACAGGAGTGAGTCACGACAAGCTCTCAGGGAAGGACCCGTGAAAGGCCCTGGGGAGTGTGCCTGAGGGTGGAGTGAGTTGAGGGGTAAAGCGGTGGGATGGTGGTGGAAGGTAGGTGGGCCTAGATCCTGTGGACCCTTCAGGCTGTGCTAGGAACTTTCTATTCGAAGTGAGATGAGAAGCCTGGGACGGTTCTTATCCTCCAACAATATGACTTGCCCACAGTTATATCCCCGTTACCACTGAGACCAATATCAGTGCCACCACTCCATCCTGTTACTGCCTGGTGACACCTGCACCGCTGTACTTTCCGCACCACAGCAGCCACTGAGAGCATCATGGTCCTCATCCCTGCCATTGTGGCAACGTCATCACCACCACCCTCCCCCATCATATGAGCACCCTGAGCGCTGTTCCGTGAGTCACCCAGAGCTGGGCACTATGAAGGGAGGCTAGTAGGATTCAGAAGCGGCCCATCCATTGCCATCAGAGATCCCAAGAATCTGGGAGAGAGACGCCTTTCCCTCTTCCAGGCGCCAAACTCATTGATGACAGCCCAATAATCAAGATGCCGTTTTCATGGCGCTTGCTTTCTCTGGCCCCCCCCATCCCCCACCCCACAGAGGTGACAGAGAAGGCAGGTAGAAATATGCATGGACTTGAGGTTCCCTTCCACTCCGGGCTGAGCCACCGCTTCCCCTTGAGGAGGAGGAGGGCCTACGTGGAAGAGGTTACATGCTGCTGACTCCTTTTGTGTTAAAAATAAACACCCCCACGAAACTCTGGCATTGGTAGACTTTACCCTCAGATCTCAGGAAGCCAACTTCCCATCTCCCTGGAAGTCCAAACCAAACAAGATTTTCCCCTGGTACCATTCCAGAAGTAGAAACCAACATAAGGAGCCAGCCCTAAGCATGTTCTCCTTCCCTCCCCTTGGCAGCATTCCTGCTGGAGGCGCTGTATAAATATAGGCCTTAATATTTAAAACCTTGGGCCATTAATCTCCTGGGCTGCCTGCGTCCCCACTCACTCCCCATCCCCCAGCCCAGCTCATTTTTAAAGCCCAGCCTAATTATGCAGCCAGATAGTAATTTCAGTGAAACATGACAAGTGCAGTCACTGCCCCAACCTATATCTCTTGCATGATTTAAGTTACTGCTCTAATTTTTGGTGAAGTCCAGGTAATGTAAAGCTTGGCTATGTTTTACTGTCCTTTCTCCATCCTGCTGGACTTGCCATGATCTGTGTATTCAAAATTCATAAGAACTTTTTCAGTCACAACCTGGAAAGCGAGTTTAATTTTTGATCACTCCTGATGCTACTGATATTTATTATGATGCCTTTCCCCCCCCCCAAGGGGATGGTGATAGGGAAGAGAGACCACTAAAAATGTTTTCAACTAACAGAATTTGAAGTGTGATAGCTTCAGAGAAGCAGGGTTCCTGGTGAGAATGGGTTTTAAAACCCTCACTGTGAATTCCTCCTAGGTAGTACATGTGACCAGTTTATCTCTCATAGCTAACGAAAAGCAGTTTCCTCGGCTATGAATGAACTACATCCTTCTCTTATCTCTAAAAATAACACAAAGGAGAAGAATCCCCCCTGAATGAATGGCTTTGTCCCCGCCAACTCCTAGTGGTCAGCTTAGTATAAAAATACTTGCAGCTGTAAGCTAGTATTAAGGGAGAGAAGCCATCTGGGGAGAGAGAGAAGGAGGCAGTGGCGAGGACCCCTCTGCCGCTAGGGGCTGGCTGACCGGTAGCACTGCCATCAGGACCACCCTGTGCTGTTTGGCCTGCATGGTGTGCTGGGTTCTTTATTGGCATGATCTCAGGTAGAGCGCCCCCTAGTGGCATGACGTGCACTTTTATTTCCCACTTGACACAGAGGGCACTGGAATTTGCCACCCTGTCCTGAACAGTCTGGAAAGACCATTCACTCCCTCTCAGTGGTTCAGTTTTTAAGTCCCAGGGGACTGGGGTGGGCCTGAGACCAGATTCCGAAACATTGCATGGGGATCACCTGGAGATTTGTAACATACGCAGATCTCTAACCCCAGTCCCCCAGCTGATCAAGTCAGACTCTCTGTGGGTGCACTTTAATAAACACCCCAGTGACGTTTGGAGGTTTAAGGACCACTGGCTGAGAGTCTGCTCTGGGACCACCGTCCCGTGGAGTGGGAGGGGTCCAGCATGGAGGTCGGGGGGCACCCGACGCCTTTCCCAGTCCGCCTTCTGGTCCAGCGCCCCTGTGTTCCGCATCCATCATAGTGAAGCGCAAGGGAGGTTCGCGATGCCGGCTCTGTACCTAAATAGCCATGTCGTTTGTGACTCCAGGTCCTTCACCTCACAGGGCGGCTGTTTCCTTCCTGAAGAATTAAAAAGTAAGATGACATGACCCCCAGGGTCAGTTCCCAGCTAGACTAGCACTTCTCCAGTCTCCACTTCCCACCATCTCCAAAACCACGGGACACCTCATCTCGCACTGTAGAGAAGGGTGGGTCCGAAAGCCCAGCTGGGGACTGAAAACCAATTTGCCCTCACTAGGCCAAGGCGGGGGGCTTCCCCACTGATTGCAGAACTTTCTCTTGCATGCGAGAGGCCTACGTACCTTGAAGTGGCATCCCAAGATCAGGGGCGGGGGAAAGACACCAGTTGCTGTTACAAATCTGATCTGTACACAGACCTGCTGGCCTCAAATGCCTTGCTAGGCAGCCACGCCGAGGGTGAGCAAGGTTAGGATAATCCGGGGCATTTGCTTGTTAAGACCCTTATCCAGAAATGGAGCGCTGAGAAAAGCCCAGTGTAAGCTGAGGAGTCTGCAAGCACAATCTGTGGATTTGTCAGAGGCGATCTTGCCAGCTAAAGGGATAAGCTCGACAGCTGTGCCTAAGGAGCCTTAACCTGTGAAGTATCTTTCAGCGTTCAGGCTTTGGAAGCGGGAGGAGAGGGAGCAGAGGTCTCACCAGAGGTGGTGGCAGGCCCTGTGGAAGCTGTGAGGAGGAGGAGGAGGGAAACAGGCTGGAGGAGGGTGCATACTCCCCGCGGGGTTGGGGAGCCTGGCCTCGCTGGAGGCAATTGCTTACGAATCTGCTTAGCTGTGCTTTCTTCTTGGTATTCCCGCGTCTCCTCCTTGTTGACCCCCCAGGACCCCAGCTCCCCCTCTTCTGCACAAAAGACCCGTTGATTTATGTTGTTAAACAACCAAAAAGGCTCGTCGTCGCTGGAAACTGGTGCATCCCCCCTCCAGGGACTGGAGCTCCGCGGCCATCCCTGAGCTGACTCTGAGAGGGAGTTCCCCCCCTCATTGAAGTGCCCTTAGCAGGAACTAGAGGCCGGGTGCTCAGAAGCCACTGGGACGCTGGAAAGTGGGCAGCCTGGCTCTGAGGACGAGCTGGGTCCTCTGCACCAGCCAGGCCAGGTTAGCTGGCTGCTAACGCACAGCATCCCTCTCGCTCACGTTGTCCCAAAGCCCTGAACATCACCACCCTGGGCTTGCTCCCGTCTAAGGAGCAACGCGTGACAAATTCATGGCTCAAAGCCATCCCCTGAGAATCTTGTGATGTGCTTACATCACACAGCCTGGAGGATGCACCAAGCCAGACAGAGCCTGAAGTCAGCACTCAAAACCTCGGTGCAGGTCAGGGAGGAAAAGTCACCAGGGAGGTGAAATGACTCAGGACTCTGAGGGAGAAAAAGAAACGTTGGCTGCGGCACGAGGCAGAAGAGGATGCTTAGAGGACCCCTGGTCTGTGCTGGGTGGGGCCAGTTTCTGCTTCATTTCTGCGATAGCGGCTTGTAATGTGACCTAGACAAGGCCCCAATTTGACTGGGTGCAGTTTCCCACCTACAAAATGTGGGCTCCTATGTGCAAAGCCATATGTCAAAGTCAAAGTGCCGGGAGTGAACATTCTCCCTGAAAGCCGAGTGGAGTGACACAAATGGAGTAGATTTTATCATGGGGCAGTTGAACTGAATAGTCTTTAAGCCCCTTCTCTTGCACCATGAATAAATAAAATTGATTGAGTGATTAATTAATTCTCAACCATTTTGAATACCTCACATGCTTGATTCACGTTTAGGAATGGCCATGTTCTCAGACTGTCCCATTCATGTTTTTAGAGACATCAGCAAGAATCAGATATCGGACATTGCCCCAGATGCCTTCCAGGGGCTGAAATCACTCACGTCGCTGTAAGTGGGGAGCAGAGTGGTGGGGGGACTGGGAGGGGGTGCGGGAGGGGGATGAGAGCTGGATGCATCCATATTTTTCGGGAGGTGTTTATTAAGGCTTTATGTTCCTTTACACACTTGTGGCAACCTGGTCAAAGAAACAAATATTTCTTCAGGGGAAATTGATCTTGGGGAATATTTCTACAACCCTAATGCATTATTTGTATTGATTAAGTGCCCAGCAGCCTGCCCAGTTATTGGCTTTTAATTTGAATGCATCTTCTCACTGTACTCCCCACTCCCACCCCACAGGCCTCAGCAGCGCCTTCTAGGGAGATGGAGGGAGACAATGGTGACATCTGTTTACTAGGAAATTGCCCATTTTCCCCATGAATGTGACCTTGTCAGGGGAGGAGCTAATTTTCGTTCCCTGATTTTCAGGCTATTTCTCCAAACCAGCCTCATGGCCATTTTGAGAAAGCATCAACCTCATTCTATAAGCCCGGAACCAAAGCCTCACCTACCAGGGACTCAGAAACCCACAAGGGCAGGAAAGCATAGAGCTTTGTCCTGATTCAATCGGTGACTCACTGTGTGGCACAGGGCATGTCATTTGAGTCTTCTGTGCATGTTCCCTCACAGGCAAAATGGAGACAGAGGCACCTTTCCTGCCTAACACACATTCATGTGGGTGACCACGATTACAGTAATTAGAATATCTGCAGTACGTATAGGTCACGTACTGTGTGCCAGATACTGTTCTAGGAGTCCTCCAAGTTCCATCCTCACAGCGACCTGGAATATAGAATCCATCCTCATCTCCTGTTTACGATAGAAGAAAGTGGGTGATCTAAGCCCCATGCAGACTGGGGCTATTATCTGTTTTGATCCTGGCTAAGTCTCTGACACCTCCAACATTTCCTGGCACATAATTATTGTGTGAAAAAAAAAAACAAAATCTCGATGAATAAATAAATGTAACGTATCCAAAGTCCACTGTAACAAGTGGGAAAGGGGGAACCTGGACCCAAGCAGTCTGACTCGAGAACCCACAATCCTCATGCTGTGCTGCCTCTTGAGATAATGTGAAAAGTGTACATAAGATACAACAAAAGTATCATTTGGTGACCTGCCCACCTGGGCAAGGGCGAGGAGGCTCAGAGGCAAGCTGTCCACGCTGTGCCCCTCTATGCAACCTGTTTGCTTAATGAATGAGTGCGCAGGTAACCCGATACAGGTTTTCCCCCCACCTGGCTGCATCCCGCTGGGGACGAGCTAAGAACAGGGAAGTCTCTGGATTCAGCTGTTGCCTGCTGCTGGCAGAGTAAATTAGCTTCATTTATCGGGTAGAACATCTGGCTGGGAGATCAAAGACAGGGCTGTGTGTGAGATTAGTGTCTGCTTATTTCGCTGAAGATCACAGAGGACAAGGGAGAGCAGCCCTCTGCCACCAGGACCCTGTCCCTGCCCCCACCATCCTGTCCCCCTCGGCTGGCCTTTGAGAACAGGCTAATAGATGCTTCTGGTCTTGCAGGAAAAGAAATTCAAAAGAGGGTTGCAAAACACGAAAAGGGCAAGCCACTAGCCAGTTCTGAAATAAGCAGATAGCGGGGTGCTGTTTAAGTGAAATGCTTCTCACTGCCAATGTACGTGTTCATCCGTTCACTAGACACCTACTATGTACTGAGTAGTCTTATAGGCGCTGAGACTGGCAGTGCACTGGGCAGACAAGACCCTTCATCTCATGAAGATTTGAACACAAACACACTCAATCCAAACTCAGGAGTAGCCAAGGCACAGGGCAGGAAAGTCTTACCCCGTATCTGTTCATTCACTCATGCACCGATGCTGACTGCACTTGACCCTGCTCAGCTCTCAGCTCTCGGGACCCAGCCATGAACAAGCCACACAATGTCACATGGAGCCTATATTCAAGGTGGCCGGTAAGGGAGGTACAAAAAATGTCTAAAATAAATACACATATGAGTAATAGGATATAATGAGAAGTGAGAAAGTAATAAAAATAGGGTGATAGGTAGTGAGAAACATTAACCAAAATATTCGGGAAGAGATATATTCAAGGAAAAGATGCTTGAGCTCAAACATGAAAGACGTGACGAAGGAAGTCAAGGAAGGACCCTGGGGGAAAGCCAGCGGGTTCACAGCCAGATGCCCCGAGGTGCACACACAGCCCATGTCAGCCTGCTGGAGAGTGGCTCTGACCCACTCGGCTTCGAGGCGCCCCACACAGATAAATGGTGGGTGATGCAAGAACCCCTAGACCCCTGGTCCCGCCACCCCTCCAGCTTCTGCTGTAGAGAAGTTGGGGCATCAGTTGAGAGGAGCAGACAGTGACATTACTACATGTGGCACAGGGAGCAGTGGGACATTAATATGAATTAGAAATGTGAGCCTGAGCCATCATGCTGACTTTTATTTAGTCGTTAATTTGTGGAAACATTAATGAAACACACCCACAGGCTGAGAGAGATGCTCACTGTTAACTCCTGGTAGCGTCTGGAAAATGGGGGATTTGGTTAATCGTTCCCATTTACCGTCTCCTGGTCCCAACATTTTGCTGCCTCCAAGACACTTAACAGCCTGAGTGAGGATTGAATATTGCATTCATTCAGTGCACTTCAGGGCCCAAGAGGAAATTTGAAAAGAAGAAGAAAAAACACCCTCCTTAGCTAAGTTCCCTCCATGTCAGAGGAGGCTGGACCCAAGAGACAGCAAAGCCTACGCCATGGTTGAGAGCAGCGGGGCCCAGAGCGTCCTCACTGCCTGTGCTGAAGACCACCAGGACCTCTGGGCACAGGGCTGGAGAGGCGGACCCAGCAGGCTTCTTCCCCAGGCTTCACAAGTCACCAGAGCCCAGCCCACAAATAGGAGATGCAGTGTGAGGGGCCCTGCAGGCTGGAAGGGGGTGGGGGTGGGGGGGGAGAGAAGTCAGAAGTCCTTTTCCCCTGGAGCTCAGAGAATAGAAAAAGGGACTGGAGTATAGAAGTCGCCATCCCTCCAATGTAACAGTTCCTTGTGCTCCCTTTTTCTGAGAGCCAGTCCTTGACTCAGCAGTCCCTGAGCCATCTGGACGGGACCCCAGATACCCAAAGCCCTGTCTAGATGGATGATGAAAGGACTCAGCTCAGGAATTCCTAAGATACAACGGGATTTTAAAAGCAAACATCCTGTAGGCTGAGCTCAGCCTGATCGATACCCACTGAAGACAAGAAGACACAGGGCCAGCCAGCTTCCCACACATCTTATTTATTTCTGGGGTGTGAGTCATTAGTGGCTCAGGGAGACACCACAAAGGGACTGCTTCTTCCCATTGTGGATTATTTATTGATCTGGGCTGCCCAGGAGTGAAACAGGATGGAGCCCATTTCTCCTCTCCTCCCGACAGCCTGCCCCCCTCCACCCCCCGCTGGCACTTGCCTCCTGTCTCACTGGTGGGAGAAGGGATGAGGTAGACCAGGTAAGGGACACTCTGAGAGTCCACCTCCCTGGAGCTGGCCTGGGTGATGGCCTCCTACATGAGTGGGTCCCAGTGGCCTCACACCCATGGTAACCGCTGTCTTTTCCGTTCTTTTCCAGGGTGCTCTATGGGAACAAGATCACCGAGATCGCCAAGGGACTGTTTGATGGGCTGGTGTCCCTACAGCTGCTGTGAGTAGGAACTTTGTCACTGTCTGTGTCTCTGGGACTGTTTGTAGGCTCTTTCCTGCCAACCTTGAGCCATGCTCTGTAGAGTTCTTCTTTTGACTTTATGTGCACCAAAAGGGAAGAAAAAATCTGAACTGCCTGCCATTCAGCTCCATCACCTCCTTCTGGTGAAGGAGAGCCAGGGAGTTGGCACAGGCCGGCCAAGGTCAGTGTGAACACACCTAAATGATAGAGCTAGGAGCCTGGCCCAGGCAGGCGTGTGCTAAGAATATAGCAAACTAAAACATGCACGCACCAAATTCCAATACCAAAGCCGAAGCAGTGATAGATGCCGATAGACATGTGACCCTGAGGAAGGGTGGGGATGGGCGATGAAATAATTAGGGGCGAGCATAATCAGTCACCGATGTGACTCTATCCGGGCATGATATGGCTGAGTGAGAAGCGCTTATTTCATTTAAAGGAAGATTTGTTGCCTTAAAATTTAAGCTCCGGGATTATTTATTTGCATTTATTTCATTTTGGTCATTTGAGCTTAAATGTTTGAAGTAGATAATTGAACTCTGATGTGAAGAGGCAAGGAAAGGAATTCAGCTCATCCTGTACCTTAAGATTTTATGATGGGGGAGAATTATCTCTGGTTTGAGAGCGGGTAGCTGTAGCATCATACGCATGTACTGTGGATATGGGGGTGTACGTCTGTGTGCACGTCCACGTCCGCTCCGTGCTGCACCACAGTTCCTGTTGGCACTGGGAATTGATCTTGAGTATCCTGTGAGCAATGGAAAATACCAAGTCTCGGAGCTAAATGACCTGCCCTCAGTCACACAGTAAAATAGGAATAGAAACGGGAGTGGAGCCTACATGGTTCTGTGGCTCAGAGAGCTCCCAGCGCTCCGAACAGCATGAGATGTAAATGCCCAGAGGTGTGCATCTGAATTCAGGGGTGTGTGTGTGTGTGTGTGTGTGTGTGTGTGTGTATAAAATCACCTCCAAGGAACAGGCAGTGAGGAAGGGGCCAGAGGCCTCGCTACCCACGTGTGCACTTAAGTGAGACTCCAGAATGAGCCTGCAGACTGGGGTTGAGGTGGGGGGGCAACCTGGGTCTCCGGACGGGTGAGAGGCCAGGAGCAGGGGTGGAGAGAGGAAAGCAGGCGACACACCTGACATGGTGGCGCCCAAGACTCTCCAAGGAAGAGGAAGTGAGAGCTTTCTTCCCACCTTTCCCTTCTCACATCTGTCCTCCCATGTCCTGTAAGGCTCGTCCTGGACAGAGTCCCCTCAGACACTGTAATCATGTGAATCACGCCCAGTGCGGTGAGGTGCCTAGCTCGTCTCCACGCAGTAGTCAGGCCTGTTGCAATGAAGTTGAGATCAAGAGAAAAGAAAGCCGGCATCTTTTTCCCTGCACCTCCCCTACTCTGTCCCATTCCATGTGCCTCCGTGTGGACATATTGGTGTTCAGAGGTCCCCGCCCTCAGTGGGCCTATAAGGCTATTTGTCAGAATGACACACCAGGAGCTGGGTGTTGCACAGATGGTGTTCTTTGCTTGTAGCAAAGAAACGGTAAGTTATAACCGCCACCATAAGGCTGGTTAACTGTGGCTATCAATCCCCGGAGGGAAGAGTAACAGTAGCATTAACCTTGAGGATTTGGGGGTGTTCTGTTCCGCTGGGTTGGGATGAATATCCTTTCACAATCTGTGGGTCTGGTGTGGAGAGGAAAATGCCCTTGGAGGAGGAACACGCATGAAGGAAAAACACGGTGTGCCCCAAAGTGCCTAGCACCGTGCATGGTGCGTAGCAAACATTCAATGCACGTGTGTTTCTTGAGTAAGGAAACGTCTCCCAGCTCCAAGCTGACAGCAGTCATGAGTTCATAGAACTAACAGGACTTTGTGTGGGCCTGGGAGACAACGTAGTTTAATATCACCATTTTATGCAGATGGAATTGAGTAGCTGCGAGTAACGACAAAGCGTCCTCCCCTCTCGAGACCAAGAGCGGCCACAGCTCAGGCAGGCTCAGTTTCCAGAAAGATCCAGCAAGTGCAGCCCTCATTGGCTTTCGACCTGCTGTTGAGCGTGGGAAAGCAGGCCCTGATGAGATCTAATTTAGCATTCAGCCCGCTGCAGAGTGGCTGCCTCCTTGTTCCACTGGAGACATTCCGATAAGAAGGCTCTGATTAGAATATCCTGGTAGCCTGGGTAATTTCCTGTCCTTTGACTCAAAGGTTTTTGGGGAGAGGTTTGTGTGTTTTCTTCTCTCTCCGTCTCAAAGTATTGGTGCATCACAAAGCCACGTGGGCTCCGTCACACACAGTGGTCTTGCATATTTCCTTCCTGGCACTTGTCATGATGCCGCAAGTAATAAAGTGGGTTGGGTACATTTGTAGTTGGTGGTCCTGCCCCATCCCCTTCCCCATTTGTCCAAACTTTTCAGCCATCCCACCAAACTTGCCCGGCCTGGTAGGTACCCAGCCCTCCTGGGTCTTTTTCTTGGCACGTTCGTTTGACAGATGGCCAATACTAATAGCAGAATATCTCAGGCTTCAGGGTTTCTCAGAGGCTGCGGCAAATGGGTCCACATGGACATGCTTCGGCAGTCCTGGGACTGACCCCCTAAGCCCTGTCCTCTGGGTGTCAGCCTCACGAGTCACCTCCTTTAGTTTAAGTTCCACAGTCTTAGAGCTCAAAGCAACTTCGCGCTCCAAGCACAGCCTCCCGCCGCTGGTGCAGACGCCCCTCCCATGCACGCCGACAAATCCTGCTGCTGTCGTTTGGTGGCGGTTTCTGTCTTACTATGTACAGAAGGGTAGGAAGGTTAGGAAGCTCTTTCCTACACTAAACCTCAGTGATGGCTTCTGGGAAACTCAGAGAAGGCTATTCTCATAGTCCTCAAATGTTTGAAAATAGCTAGTATTTCTCCCCATACCTAATCCTAAATAGATTCAGTTCCTGCAGGCATTCACTGTATGAACACACATTCATTAGTAATTAATTAGTAACAACCCTTATTATATCTGGGGGATGCAAGGTAGCCTGTCAGCTTCCCTCCTCAAACAGGCTGCTGGGAAGCGAGTCAGGTGCTCACCTGAACAGGAAGTGTGTTTAGAGACTCCCTCCTAAGCTGCTGAGAACTGGAGGTGTCTCAGAATCCAAGGTCAGGACAGGACACGCCACTGGCACATGCTCCCAACTCCAGGGATGGCAGCAGCTGGGTGACCAGAGAAGTGACCCGTCCTCTTCTCCCAAGCCCCAGCTCTCCCTTCCTCGCTGGAAATGGGGTTTGCTCCTCTCCATTACCCCGCTCACCTGGGCTCCTGGGACACCTGTGGAGATGGTGCTCCTGGGTGCACAGCCAGCCGGAGTGCCCCCACGCCCCTCGCCTTGTAGCTCAGAGGCCAGTCCTCCCCCAGCAAGAAAAGTGGCCAGCATGTCCCTAGTGCCATCCCTTCCCCCCTCTGATGGGCAGCCAGGCTGCACTGTGACAGCTCCCCCAGGGAACTGGGGCATTACCTGGCGCTCACTGATTGCTTGGCATGAGTAGGAAAGTCATTCACGTGTGGCAGGCAGTCATTTGAGGTGGCAGCTCTCGTGTGAATGCTGCCCACGGTCAGTGTTGAGCTGGCTCCAGCAGGTCTGAAACCAACCCGACTGTCTTGGGGCTGGAATACGTTAACACAGCCCAGGCACCTGTTGTCTGATTTTCTTGGAAGGCAGACAAGCCCATTTGAGGATCTTGGAGTTTGCCAAGCAATGTGCCAATTACAGGGCAGCGGGCAATACGTCACTCCCTACAGCTCCCTTTCCCTCGCCAGCTGTTTCACTGGTATTACCACTGCTGCTAATAACAGCGGCTAACGTTTCTGAATACCTAATACGCTGCAGAACCTGTGCTAAAAAATTTCACATGCACCATCTCATCTCGACTTTCCAGCAACGCTAAGGGAGGTATTGCCAAAAGGCCCATTTTACAGACGGGGAAACTGAGGCACTGAAGGGTTAAGTAACTGGGCCATCGCCACTCAGCATGGAAGTGACTCAGCATTGGAACCCACACAGTCTGACTCTGGAGTCTGTTCCGGAGACTTCTTCAGGCCCAGCCACGGGCAGCTCTGCTGGGCTGCTTTTGTGTGACACAGAATAAGAAGCGACTGTCAGTCCACTCCTCCTGTTCTGCCTCAGTCCCCAAGGAACTTCTCGGGCTCACTGCCATCCCCCCACCCGCGCTTGCCCCGAGCCCGGTACGGCAGCACACAAGGAACTGCTTGCTTTTCAAAGACTGACTTTGTGATACCGCCTGGAGAGTGTTCTCCCCTCTCCCGTGTGCCTAAAGCTTCCTAAGGAAAGGCCTTGGGGAGCCTTCAGCTCTGGCATCCTCCCATTCTTGGTCTTTGAGTAAATGGCTGACCCCCGCCTAAAGGACTTATTAGTAACCAGGTAGCAATCATATAGGCAAGTGGCCACACTACTAGCTCCTGGGACATGGAGAAGGCAAGCCAAGTCACACCAGGTGAGGCCCCTTGCTCTCCTGGTAGCAGGTGACGGCTCCCGTGTCTGGTCTCAGGACCTCAGCTTCCCACCGATCGCCTTTGGGAAGCCCAGCCGCTTGCAGCCTGTTCCTAGGGCCCCACGGTGTCTGTGGGGTTGAAGGAGTCTCGTTTTCCAGACAGGCCACCCGGTGGCATTGCTGTATTTGCAGCTTCCCTTGCATCAGGAGTCACCATGGCAACCCACAACCCGTGACCAGCAGTGCAGTCATTATCAGGGAGAAGTGAACATTCACCTTCCCTCCCGTTGGGACTAGGAGGGTTCCTCCTGTGTCCTCTAGTGAGTGTTCAGCGTGACATGGCCCCAGAGCCCTCATTCACACGTGCAGAGAAGGGCCTGGGCGGGGTTACGATTCCCTGACCTCGTGGCACCAAGGATCACCAGGTCCCTCCCCATGTCCGGCCTTGCTGGAGATCAAAACAAATGCCCTGTATGTCGTAGCGGGAGGATGA